AGGTGAGGGGGAGGGCTAGAAGGAAATAATGAGGGAGAGACAGTTGGAATATGGGCTTTTTGGAGGGCAGTGTGAGACTCTAGTGTAATGGAAACTTCCTGGAATCTATGTGCATGACCCTAGTGATGACTTCTAGAAACAAAGAAAAATGAAGTCTAAACCAACCATCATTTGAAGCCACACAAGACTTCCAATAGTGGGACTGGGTGACCTTCAGTGAGTTGGCTGAGGAGGTCCTGTGGAAACCCCTAAATAACCCAGACTGATGCTAGGACAGAAGGTTGCCTTCTGAAAACTGACAGTGGGGCCCTATTGCTGAGGACAACTTCCACTCTGCTCATTGAACATAGAGCATAGCTGATGAGGACTTAGAGCATTATTCAAGTGTCTTTTGTGAGAGAAGGTACTCTGCAGGCTACAGAAGAAGAAACCCGCACACCAACCCAACTACAGAACCCTCAATCAACAATCTTCCCTGCCTGCAAGATGTTCTGGGGCAATGGTGGTGCCAAAAATGTGAGAGTGGCCAAGCAACATTTGATTTAATTTGAGGCCCATGTCTTACACTGCCTGAATGGCCAGGAACTGGAGACTGAAAGCTCAGAGACCTAGGGTGGAATGAAGCATGAATGGCAAATAAACAAAGCAAACAAAAATAATGAAATAATTTATAAGCAAATGGATGCAACCAGAACAAATCATCCCAAGCAAGGAAACTTAGACCCAGAAACATAAATGTGATATCTAATTACTTATAAGTGGATATTAGCTGTTAAGTAAAAGATAATTAATCCTACAATACACAGGTCCAGAGAGGTTAAATAAAGAGGAAAGATATGTGGGTACACATGGATCTCCCTGGGAGGGGGAAATAGAATAGATTTTGTGGGTGGTAGGGATGGGAATAGGAGGGATCAGGTGGTGGAGCAATGATGGAGGGAGAGAGTATGAGGACAGATGACTGAAATAGGTAGGCATTTTAGGGATGATATGGAAACCTAGTGCAGTGGAAACTTCCTGGAACCTATGAGAGTGACCCTAGTGAGGACTTTTAGGAATTGAGGATACGGATCCTAAATTAGTCATCTTCTGTTAGTGGACTGGGACAACAACCCAGTCACAAATCTTTAGATCTACACTTGTCCTGCCTGCAAGATACTCTGGGACCATGATGGCTCAGAGCTTGAGGGAGTGGCCAATCAATGACTGGCCTAACTTGAGCCCCACACTATGAGAAGGTGCCCATGCCAACTACTGTCTGGATAGCCAGGATCTGGAAGCTAGATGGATCAGATATCTAGAGTAGAACCAAACACAACTGACAAAAATGTCAATGGAATTATTCCTCATGATATTCTGCTATACTCATAGATTGGGGTCCAGCTGGATTGTCATCAGAGAGGCTTCCTCCAGCAACCAACAGGAGCAGATACAGAGATCCACAGTCAAACATTAGGCATAACACAGGGAAATAGGAGTCAGAGGTGTTGAGGACACCAGGAGAATACAGCCCATAGAATTAGCTAAGCAAGACTAATAGGGGCTAACAGAGACTAAAGCAGCAACCAGGGAGCCTGCCTTGGTTTACACCAGGCCCTCTGCATACATAATGTGGTTGTTTAGCTTGGGGTTTTTGTTGGACTGCTAACAGTGGGAGTTTTTGTCAGTGACTTTGTTGTCTGCTCATGGGACACTTTTTCTTCTACCGTGTTGCTTTGTCCAGACTTGATATGAAGGTTTATGTCTAGTCTTGTTTAACTTGTTATTCTGGTTTTGGTTAATATCACTGAAAGGCCTGTTCTTTTCTGAATGCAAATGGAGGAGCAGTGAATCTGGGGAAGAAGGCAGGTGTAGGGGGACTGGGAGTCTGGAGAGGCTGGGGTTGGGATGTATTATATGAAAGAAAAAGAAAAAATGAGAAAAGGTAAATCTGTCTTCAGTGTTAATTTTCGCAATAACTAGAAAGATGCCATTTACTTATCATGTTAAAAATAAGTTCTGATTGCTTTATTTCCATAGCAACAGAAGAATCAGTCTTCCTAGGTGCAGGAACTCTTTCTCCACGCCTCCATGGCTTCCTTCTAAGCCTAGACAAGTAAGACATCAGTGATTTCCAGTTCCCACCACTGCTGTTCTTTCTCTTTATGGAAAATGTTGTAGGAGCAAGAATAATTTTCCCGTATTATAATTTTTCCTCTTTAGATCCCCGAATTATCCATGAATTCATTTATCAGAACAGTGACTATAGAAAAGTATTTATACTTGTAAACAATAGAGTTTGAAATTTTTATCAAACAAATGTGAGAAAAACAAAAAAGAATTCCATAGGCATTGTGGCATTTAGTTATGTTTTACAGGCTTGAAGAAGGAAACAGGTACAGGCCAGGAAAGATGGATCAGGGAGTAAAGGCTCTGGCCACCATGCCTGATGACCTGAGTTTGATACATGGAACCTACAAGGTGGAAGAAGAGAATTGACATGTGTGTCATAGCATGGATATGTGTGCATTTGTGTGTACACACACAATAAATAGATGTAAAAATTTTTAAAAAGAAAGTATTTTCTTCAATCATTTACCTGTTGATGAACATCCAATCTGGTCCCATATCTTCGACATTGTGAATAGTGCAACAATTAACATGAGCATGCAAGCATCTCTTCCTTATGCTAACTTAGAACCTCCAATGATCATATGCAGTCGCTATATAGTTGGTTACTTTTTATGTTCCACTTTTTTCAGTTTTGAGGCATCTCCATTCTTTTATTCACAGTGGTTGCCAGTATAGGTTCTCACCAGCAATATATAACAATAATTCTCTCCTCTCCCATCCTCTGTATAACAATAATTCTCTCACATCCCATCCTCTGTAACACCTCAGTGTGTGTGTGTGTGTGTGTGTGTGTGTGTGTGTGTGTGTGTGTGTGTGTGTGTGTGTGTATACCTGTTTGTATGTGCACATGAGCATGTGGGGGCCAACAGTCACTATTGGGTGTTTTCTTCTGTCTTTCCACATTCCTTTTTGAGAGAATGTATCACTGATCCTGGAGCCCTGAATTTTATCTAGACTGGTTGGGCAGTGAGTCCCTAAGATATGTCTTTTTCTGCTCCTGTTCACCTCAGTGATAAGTTATACAGGTTTGTGTCATCACACTTGAATTTTTTATGTAGATATCTGGGATCTGAACTCATGACAGCATACTTGATTAATAAGCACTTTACCCACTGTGCTAGCACCATGATAAATGTTTTCAGCCTTTATTTACTTTCTAGAATGATCCATTTCTGTCCTTGTGCATGTTGTGGGTTTCTTCACCAGTGAATGATGCTTCTTAGAGGTAATAGATAGTTGGATCTTGGTTTTCAATCTAGTTGTCTGGTCTGTGTTGCTGGTGGGTTGAGGCTATTTATCTTGAAGACTGTCATTGAGAGATTTTACTAATTCCTGTGCATTGGTTTTTCTGTTTGTTTGGATTATGCTTTGTTCTCTTCCTTCTTTTATTAGTATCATGAGTTTGCTGGTTTACTCTGTTGGATGCAATGGAGGCTGCTCTAGCTTCCCTTTGTTAATTTGTTCCTATCACAAGGTTTATTCTTCAAGGGATGGCAGTGAAGGGATCATTGGTAGCAGAGTGCAGAAAAGAGACAGTAGCTTAAAATAGCAGTAGTACAAAACTGTAGTAGGAATGTAGTAAAGCACTCAAAAACCCTGTCTTCCAGTCATAACACAGTCAAGAGTCACTGAGCTAGGGAGAAACTTAGCTACTCCTTTGCAAGATCTGAGTTCTATACTGAGAACTTGTGAAACAAAACTGAATGGAGTAACATCCATGTAATCCCAGAACCGGGGAGACTGAAAGAGGCAGAATCCTGGGGCCCACTACCCTGCTAGCCTAGCTCATTTGATGAGCTGTTTGTCTCAAGGGAAAGGTGATCAGACATACAAGTTGTCTTCTGGCTTCCAAATGCACTCATATGGAAAACACACACATATACATGTATGTGCATATGTACACTATCATAGAGACATATGTATTTCCTAATCAGTAAAACCAAATGGGTACAATAATAAGCGCTGTTGAGTAGCATTCTTTGTGAGGACAGATGACAGAAAAGTGTGAACATTAGCAGCTGCTACAGATGATATAAAAAAAGATTAAAACAGGTCTAGAGGCCTTGACAATAAATTTTACTTACTCTGAAATTTTATCTAGGCTTAACTCCAAGGTTAAATGCTGTCTGGGGCATTGCTTTCTAGTGTTTTGAGCAATGGGAAGAGAAATGCAATGGAGTGGAGGTGATTGAGTCAAGTTGATGTTGGATGACCCTACAACTTTATGATAATTAGGAAAAACTAAATCAAGAATAGATTAAAGAGAACTAGAAAATACTAAGTGTTCTCGTGGGGGGGAAACATCTTCAAAGAGACATGAATTAATTTTCATTTTTGGAGGTAAATGTATAATGCTTCATCAGGAATTCAAAACATGATAAACTCTGTAAACAGCTGCATAAGACATAAGAACATTAGATCCTCAAAAAGTTCTGTGGTACGTAGTATCCCAGGGTCTATTTCCAGTGACATTGTTTTTCTATAATCTCTTAGTAACTTATGATGGATAAGGTCTATATTTATCCCACATAACATTTTAATAATTGTTTATCAATGTCACAGCCCTGTTCTTGGATAAAGGAAATGTTTGCTAAGTCAGTAACTCTGAGATAAGTGTTGTGGCATGTGCTTATGATCTTTATGACTCAATGTGAAAGGCAACATACACCCTCAGTTGGATCAGTTTAAGAATCATCTTATTGAGAAAGAGATGCAAAGCCCTACAGTCTTTTTATCCACTGAAAAGTCCCCAGAGACATGAAACAAAAGCATGAAAAAGTGACTATTTGGCAGTAATATTGCTTTAATAAAAACTGTATAATGTTCTGCTGGGAAAAAAGTTTTTGTTTCCATTCCAGAGGAAATGAGCTGTCGCTTAGCAGTAAGAACACAGGACATGATTAAGCTATGTTTTCCAGCCAGAAGATGTTATGAATTCTGAACACAAATTTTCTTACTTCTCAGTAACTCCAGAGCTGGGTTGTAAGAAGGGATCATCTACATAGTAAGTGAAATTGCTGAGTTAACTAGCATCCATCTCTCCATGTGGCTACATAATCTTTATTATATATGGGGTAATCTCATAGTCTTAAGGCCAAGTTGTGTTTGATATCATTAAGATCACTAAGCATTATTGCATATCATTTCAGCAATTCCTGTTAATTTAGGAATAGCAGTAATTATGTGAGATCAGTGTTATATAGACTGTTCCTCTGTTCTCTTTGGTGTATAGCAATTGCTACATTTTCAGAGCTATGAAGAGGCTAGGGTGTCATGCTTAAAGGTGCTAAAGTTTACTTGTGTAGAAATAGTTATGATTTAAATAAATCTAATGAATTTTATTCTTGAGAAACCAAATATATATTGGAAACACAAAATTTTAAACATATGCAGAAGGAATGGGAGGAGAAGAGAGAGCAGAAATGCTGTTGGAATGTCAAATAAATGAATAAATTAAATTTAAAGCCTCATCACTCTATGGGGCCTCTGATAGTAGATCAGTATTTATCCCTGACATAGGAAAGGACTTTAGGATCCCTTTTCACGTAAAGGAATAATCTCTCAGCCTGGACACATGGGGAGGACCTAGGCCCTCCCCAGGATGATATGACAGACTTTGTGGATCCCCCATGGAGGGCCTTACCCTTCCTGGGGAACATAGTGGGGATGGGGTGTGGGACTGGTGAGGGTTGGGGGAGGAAGGGAGGGAGAAGAAGAGGGGATTGACATGTGTAGCAGGCTTGTTTCTAATTTGAACTAATAAAAATAATTTCTGGGGAAAAATAAAAATAAATAAAAAAATTGTAGTGACAAAAAAATTAGTGTGTTTTCAAAGAACTATAGCCAACTAGGGAATGATAAAAGGGAGAAATAGTCTTTTCCACAGAATAGTATACAAATTGAGTATCAAATACCAAATGATTGTCTCTGAAAACATACATACAAATAACATACAGATGAGCAAATTGCATTCACATATTTAGGAATGTGTATGTGTGTGTGTGTGTGTGTGTGTGTGTGTAATAACAACTAAAGAAAAAAGTAGTCATGAATCTGAGAGAGAACAAGGCATGATCTATGGGAGGTTTTGGAAAGAGGAAAAGGAAGGGAGAATGATAAAATTATATTAATCTTAACATATTGAAGTAATTAAAAATAGTGTGTTTAATCACATTCATGCTTACAATAGCACAAGTAAAATATATGTTACTATTTGGAAAACGTGTCTAATAATAAATTTGGGAAACAATATATTTTTTGACCAGCAAATAAGAGAGATGTGATGAGAATATGGAAGGTTATGGCAGGAGTAATAGTGTAACATATACTTGCTATGATCCAAATCATTTTGGCTTATGTCCTTTATTTCTTTAAAGACTAATCATTCTGAATGAAATAAAATGCCATACTTGAGCTTAATGTGAATGGAAATTTTGTCCTATGCTTTTGGAATCTTCCCTTGTGTCTGTCTCTACTTCTAAGTGTACATGTTGACTTATTGACTTGAACCTGTGAATGTTTTTACTATTTAATTTAACTCAGAAAAAAATGAAAGTAAGGATTTGGCATCTTCTGCAAGGAAATTATTCCTTTAAATATATCAACTTATTTATTCTACTATATGTGGCAGAATATTGATTATTCTCACTGAGGCATTGCTTGTACTGCAAAATGAAAATTATTTCCTTTAAAATATCCTAAAATTAGACACTGATTGGCGGATGACAGTGCAGACAAAGCCTTTAGATCAATTGAAAAAATCAAAATGTAAGATTCACAGCTAGATATCACACTGACTGGAATTATATAATATGAGTAATGAAGTCCCCAAACCCCAGGGGACCTGAAACATAAACAAAAGAGGTCTTGATAGAAAAAAAATGGTTTCTGACAAGATCTGAGAGAAATGAACATTTGACAGTGCAGCCTGGATATTACTGCCTGTCACTCACTTGATGTCCTCAGAATTGATCAGTAGAAATAAGAAATGGGGATAAATAGGGTGGAAAATACAAGAGATTTGTTTATGAGACATTCATTAGATACAATGGCAGAGACCATACATACTCTTGGTCTACCTAAATGGGCAGATATATGGTCTTGGGATTGGAACCACAAAGGATAATGACCAGATATGTTTTGAATGTCCCCTCTTCCAAAATTCAGGTGCTGTCAATTAGAGTGCTTAGAGAAGGTGTTAGAGGTAATTGAGTGAATGAATTATGTGTCTCTCATTGTAAAAGAGACTTCTTACACTCTTAAAGAGTTTGTGCCCTTGCATTTCTGTTTTCTGTCCCATGAAGATGCAAGAAGAGCCCTCATCAGATGTCAAATACTGATTTCTTGATTTGGGACATTTGGCTTCCAGAACTGTGGAAAACTAATTTCTGTTCTTCATAAAAACAGAGTGTCTGGTATTCTGTTACAACAAAACAAAATGAAGACATCAACCCACAACAACTTGTGCCTGATTGGGAAATGAATAATGGGTGATATTTAGTGTATCCATTTATGGTTGTTCATTATGGTTTGTCCCTTAATACTAAAAATAATAGAAGGTCTTTACTTTCAAAGATGGTGGTGGACGATAATGAACTGAGTGTGTTACTTAGGTCAAACACTGTAACCAAAGGCAACGTAGAGGAGCCCAGAGTTTATTACATCCTATGCGTTACAGTTCATGCTAGAGAAAATTCATCAGGTGAGGAATCCAAGCCAGGAACTTGAAGCAGAAACCATGGAGGAATTCTGCTTGCCAGCAGTCTCTGGCTCAGGTTTAGCTAGCTCTTTTTGCAGATCCAGGGCCACTTGCCACTGGAATGGTGTTGCCTACCTTGGGCTGAGTCTTCTTTATCAATTAGTAATTTGGAAATCACTAATACATATGCTGCAGATCAACTTGATCTAGGCTTTCCTCAATTGAGGCTTATCCTCACAGAAGACTCTAGGCTATATAAAGTCAACAATAGAAGTCAACCAGGGCAATCCTCTTCTGTTTCTATTATTTGAACACAACCTGTAAAGAAAAAAATATTTTTCTCACAATTTTCAAGGTTCTAGTCCATAATGACCAGACCCATGGATTCTAGGCTTCTGCTGGCACAAGGTGGTAGCCCAGTTACAAATATCCCAGGAGAGCCAAGTTGAAAACTCTTCTACTCCATGGGATTTATTTTCCTATGTCACTGTTAGGTTAGAAGTATAAAAAGGCCTTTTGATGCTTATGTTATGACAACATAGTGCAGATTTGAATATCTTGCATGTTTTGGCTAAAACAGCTGACACTAGACATCCAGTAACTATGAGTTAACAAAAAATGGCTGACATCAGCTGTCTAGGGAGCCAAAGTTCACAGTACTAATGCATTTTATACTATTTTTGACAGAGGGGTACTTTTGTGTAACTGTATATAAATATGTCCTTGAATATGTCCCTTAGCCAGCCAAACTGCCTGTGTGGATCTATTTGTAGGCCTGTGTGCCAGCCTATGTATGTGCCTATGTCTGCTTGTATGTGCTGACACATGGCCCCGTGCCTGCTGGCAGCTGCTTGCTTAGCAGCCTTCTCAGGGAGTGAATAAAATATGTCTTTTCTTATGTGGGGTCCTCAAAATCTCCTCCCTATCCCACCTTTCATATACCCCCCCCCTTTTGTAGCATCAGGGAGTGGGCCTCATAATCACATTTGAAGACATTCCTAGGGAGAAACCCAACATGAGTCTGGGCTTAAGCTGTGTGCTTTCTGTTTTGAATAATGTATAACTCCACATTGTTGGCCACATATTACACATTATTGTGTCTGTTGCAGTGGCTTATGAAGAGAAGGTTTATCCAATGCTAGTCATTACTGCTGCTGTGAGTTTCTTAGAGTTATATTCACTGTGTTCCTTTGCCTTTTTAATTCTACTGTCTTTTGCATTCTTTGATCCTGTCCTAAAGACTATAATATCTGTCCTTAGACTAACATTAAGTAAAGTTGGGGTATGACTATAGTTTTCTAGCAACTTTTATACCTGCGAGTTTTAGAGTTTATTTTCATATAAATATGGCATATTTTTACTGATATATATATATATATACATATATATATATATATATATATATATTATTTTTATGGCCAAATAAACATTTTTACTAACTTTGGCATTTTATGTATAATATTTTAATTATTTATTTTACTTATTTTCTGCTCATTCTTTTTTTCTTTTTTTGGTTTTTTTGAGACAGGTTTTCTCTGTGTAGCTTTGGATCCTATCCTGGCACTTGCTCTGGAGACCAGGCTGGCCTCAGATTCACAGAGATCCGCCTGCCTCTGCCTCCTGAGTGTTGGGATTAAAGGCGTGCGCCACCAATGCCTGGCTTTCTGCTCATTCTTAAGTTGCTATCATGCACCTAATTCTACACATGCATTTAATCCTACGAACTTTCTATTATTCTATAAACAAAGAATGACCTGTATTTATCCAAATGCATATAATTCCCAGTACTTATAATTTCTTCAAACCTGAACTTCAATTTAAAATTATTTTCAATCTACTGAGCAGTTCTTGTATTTTCTTTACTTTCTTTAAGTTTCTGACTGACCTACTTTTGGATACTTTCACTGGATACAGCATTTTAGGTTGCCTGATTTTTTTTTTTCTGTGCTGTGGCTTACAAAATATTGCTGTCTTTAATTTTCAACAATTTTACTTTTTATCCCACTACAGGGAGTTACCACTTCACGCACCTCTCTGAATTATTTCTGCCCAACTTTTAAGAATTCTTACTCAGCACCTCTGAAATAATGTAGGTCTTAATCTTTTTCCTTCTGTCTCTTTTAGTCATGATTCCATGTGACACATATGTCAAATGTTTTCATTATATGTATATATATTTCACACAACCATATAAACATTTTCACTAAGTTGGGTATTCTCTAACATTTTTCCCTGTTAACTATTTTTTCTTTCCAGCTGTGCCTAATCAATTATCATAAATTTATGCATCAATTTTAAACTTCTGA